GGGTGCACTTCTGACAGCCAAGAATGTGGCGCGGCCAAGAAAGTGGAAAAATAAGAAAGCCACTCACCAAGGTCTCGCTGCACAACCGTGGTCACCGAGATAAAAAAGAAAGGGGTTGTATTTGTCCACGTTCTAGTGGAAGATTCATTTACATTTTGCACATTTGCTGAGGAGTGGAGCAAGGGGCCAAGTAGGGGAAAGGAATGAAACTCAACCCACAACATGGAAAGGTACATCACTACTTTACTTTTACCTTTTTGCCAAGGCTCTGAGGCCCCCAGCCGTGGTCCAGAACTGAGCCTACTCAGCCTGGACCCCACCCCCTTGTGCAGGCAAAGTTTGTCTCGTTCACTTGAACACAACGCATATGCTTTGTAAACGAATACAACGCATGCCTTATGTTCAGCGGAAGACGGCAGGGGTAAACCGAAAATACATAGGGCCTGAGAAAAGTTGGCAAGTACCGGGACATTTTGCAAAGATGGACAGTACCCGGTAGGCTATTTTGCAAAGATGACAGGTCCAACCAACGCCAGGGGCATTTCGCAAAACATTTTCTGTGTCAAGGGGTATTCCACTCTACCCACATCCCTTCGGGGCATTTTGGCATGTCTCAACTTATAGGGGTATTTTGCAAATTATCCCTATATTTTTTTATTTTTAATGTTTTTTTTTTTGCCCGGCCAGGCAAGTCATCCCTGGCCACTCTGGTAGCCTAGGCATTCAGCGATTTCAACGAAACGATAACTTTTTCTGTGTTAGTCTGAATATGTAAAAACTGAATACAAGACAAATTTGACAAATACTCAGAGATTGTCCCACATCGGCCTGCTCAGAAAGATCTGTATCTGTGTTGTCAAATGGTCTTCTGGTTGTCCGAATGTCTGAAAAGTAGCCTGCACCGTACTCACAAATCAGCTCGCGTTGCCTTTTGGCAGCGGCACGTCCAGCCCATGTGGATGGACCAGTTCATGCATATCTCTGCACCTGCAATCTGCACGGCAGCAGTCTTTTGAAGGCGTCTTTTTTGTCATCCTGTCCGCAGAGTTTCAGCATATTTTTTCCCACCTTGCTATTTTCTGCCAAGCTATCATTTGTACTATTTCTTCAGTCCACGACGGTCTGAGACTGGGTGTTTACCCAGGTAATCTTCTGCCTCTTCATCCGCCTTTCTGAACCATTCAGGTCGAATGGGACAGCGAACTAGTTCTCCTGAACCTTTAAAGGAGAGCCGGCTATGGCTATCCCTCCCTCCTTTGCCTTTACCTTCCAAAGCCAGTCCAGGTTCAAGCGCTGCATTCCAACGGCCGCCCACAACTAGCCTATCTACAGCAGGCAGAGAATAGGGGAGTGCCTCAGAGAACTCCATCCAATCTAATGGATCATTTGGGGCATAGACTGTGGTCACGTCCCTGTTGAGATTTCCCAGACTGAGCTTAAGTCACGACCAGCAGCCCCAGAAATCATTTTCATAATCCACTAGCTCTGCTTCCAGACTTTTCCGCTCCAAGACAGCCACTCGTCCTTTGATAATTTCGCAGGAGACCAAATCTGGGGACCGTCCCACCAGTCCAGCTGTAGCAGTTTTGTCTCCACCAGCTTTTTTTTCCCCCTAGATAAAAGAAACCACGGTAGCGAAGGTTCTGCGAAAAAGTACACAGTCGGGTCGAGACAACAGCCAACTGGCCTAGCTCAGTTGGTAACACCCCTTAACTGTTAAACAACAGACCTAAGTTCGAACTTCACTAGAAGCAGATGAGTCAAATGCTACAGTTCAGAACCACATAGGGCTGGTCAGTGTGATGATGACATCTCAAGGCCGTCACCCTTTTAAAAAGAAGGAAGGATTTAAAAGAGGAATTTAAGAGAACAAAAGGAAAAGGGAACAAAATTTCGACAACAGCCCTTTCCTCAGCTAACAATTTGGTACACGCTTCCTGAACGCTGCAGAGTGTTGTCATGCATTCTGATGGTTTTAATGCCTCCCAAATCCGGGCCTTTGATGTGTCCATCTTCACCCAAATTGAACGTAAGGCCATTATCGCTGCATATAGACTGCAGGTCGACCCAAATGACCGTACGTCCCTCCTAGGGGGAAGACGGCAGG